GTTACATACATACATACTGTCCATCCATCCATCTATACATATATGCATACATACAGCACATACATATTGTACATACATAGTATTTGAGTCAGCTTTGATACCTGGTATTTGCACAGACAAGTGCAAAGAAACATTTTAATGTGATTTGCCACTGCCTTATTCCTAGAGCCAAGAGAAATTGAATCTGCATTTCATATGTATTTTGTTTTCCCCTATTCTGTCACTTCTAATTTTCTCTTGGCAGATTTACCCATATATAGATTTTTCTTTTAAAAAGATTGGTTCTCTCTATGGCCTTAGAGATAGAACTGTTGGAAATTGTGATGGAATGTGTACCTAAAGGGATGGGGTTTGGCAATAAAGAGCTTTTGCAGGGAGAGATCCACATTAAGACAGCACAGTCTTGAGCTGGAGAGGGGGAAAATTCAGTGTAACCACACCTCAGGACATATCTAGTGAGTTGTCTATGGCAACATACAATTGAAGTACTGCTCTTTAAATGTCCACATAATTTCATAGGGAAAGGATTTGAATGAGGCACTTTGGAGAGTGCATTGGTACAGCAAAAGCATCTCTCCTTGAAATACCTTCCAGAAAGTTTTGCATGTGTGATTTAAAGTTCCCTGTCATCAGTACAAATGTGTTCAGAAACAATTCCGATTCAGAAATTTTGTTCGTGCATGGACACACATGTGCAGGTAAGCTCAGAAAGCATTTAAGCAATCACGGTGGCATGAAAGATACGGTTGTTTTAACATTTTGAAGAGAAGTGACATCAGAAAAAAACAATGACAAACTGAAGATGACTGCAATGAAATGAGCCAGCAAATGGCTTGGTTGCTGAGAATTCCCCTGTGGATAAGGAGAGGACTCAGGATGCCCCACAAATTCTCAAGATAGTAGTTCCTCTTGAGGAGATTGTAAGAAAGTGGCTTCCAGTGGGTTTAGAGCTCTGAGAGATAAGTTGTTGTTTTGGGCAATTCTTATTGAGCTTTTACTAACCAGAATTGAATGAGGTGGTTTTAAAGATTTGTTTATAGATAAGTAATAAGGTGTGGAAAATAGAGATCTTTTATTGGATCCTCAGATTGTTTACCGAAATGGGAAGTCATTTCCTTATATCTTTTTTTGTTTTTCTTTATTACACTTACATTTTTCATTCTTTTCTATTTGTTTTTTGTTTAGTTTGTATTCATTTGTATCTTTATTACCTATAAACTTTAATAATAACTACTAGTAAAAACATTTTGAAGAGAGGCGCAGTCAGCCATCTCAAAGTAACCAGATAGGAAATGCGATTCGATAAAGTCATCCACACATTTCATTGTAGGTACTTTAGTCTCACCAGTGTAATATGTGAAGCATCCTTCACGCAGTTAGTGTATGGCAAATAGAATTTCAAGTTATAAATGTAACTTTCATAAAGACTCAAGTGATTAAATAAAAAATCCATTCCATAATTTAGATTAGAAATAACTTTTTAAGACTTTTATCAGAAAGCAAGGACATTTGGCAAATACAGAGGAGCTTTGATGGAGGATAGCAGCTTTTACTAAGAACATGACATACCACTGGCTTCCTCTCAAAGTAATGTGTGATTATCAAAAATCTATTTGTTTTGGGTCTTGAATCTGTATATAATGCTTACTGTTTTATTACTGTTTCATTAACTTAGTTGTATGAAGTAATTATTTTTTAACTGATACTGATAAAAGCCTACATTAAATTAGCACAACACTCAGGAGGGGACTTGTATGCTTACAGCTAAAAAGAAATGATTTGGTGATTAGGTTGTATTCTACAATCTTGGAAAAAACATCTTACTGGACTTAAAATTAGTTGGAGGATGATAGTGAACATTTATTTTCCCATCTGCTTTAGCCAGCAGGCTTTTTAGGAAAACACAATTTTGGAAAGTCCAAGACAATGAGAAGTGGGGCTATAGATTGAGCGACTGTCTTATTCCCTCAAAGTACAAATGGAAAGTAATTAAACTGCCTGGGAGTGCTTTGAAAATAACATGTCAAATAGGGTATTTTAATAATAAGCCTTATACCACTGATAAGACATATGTATGCAAGTCCTATTTAACTTTGTAAAACATCAGGCCTGAAAATTTAATACTGTTGGCTTTATTCATATATTCAGACAATGTAGCTATGTTCCAACAAGCAACCACAAGATAGGCAATCACATTTTATCTTAGCTTTAGCATGTTGTGGGAAGCCAATCATCATGATTATGGTTCAGCGTGGGGCCAAATGCCTTTAAGAATCTTATTAACCCTGATTACTGTCGGAGTATTCAGATGTTTTATCCTATCTAATACCTTCTAATGGTTAATTCCTTACAAGGAAGGTGAGGCCACTTTCCAGTTATGGGATTCAAACAGATGTGAAGAGTTTGAAGAAGGCTGATCAAGTTTCCTAGGCTTTCTAAAGCCCACCAAAATCATTGCCATTGGGAGGGAAAGATGGGGTCCACAAGGTTTCTTTCTCCTAACCTTTTACAGGAACTGGTCTAGTAAAGAGAAGGACCAGGGGAGACATGATAGCAGTCTTCCAATACTTGAGGGGCTGCCACAGAGAGGAGGAAGGGGGTCAAGCTATTTTCTAAAGCACTTGTAGGCCAGACAAGGAATCATGGGTGGAAACTGATCAAGGAGAGATTCAATCTGGAAATAAGGAGAAACTTTCTGACAGTGAGAACAATCAACCAATGGAACAGAAGTTGCCTTCGGAAGTTGTGGGAGCTTCATCACTTGAGACTTTCAAGAGATTGGACTCCCATTTGTCGGAAATGGTGTAGGGTTTCCTGCTTGGGCGGGGGGATTGGACTAGATCAGTGGTCGCCAACCAGTGGGCTGGGGACCACTGGTGGTCCGTGAGAAAATTTGGGTGGTCCACAGAGAAATGTCACCCCCAAAGCAGTTAATCCAGGCTGCGCGGGAACACAAGGCTTTTCCGCCCACATGGCCTGTGGGAACACAAGGCTTGCGTCACTTACATTGCGAACAACACATGGTAGTGAGGGAAGGGAGGGGGGAAGAGCAGAGGGGGAGAACTTGCACCAATCGCCCCACGCGCCTTGCCTGGCCACCGGGCTGCTTCTTTCCACTTCTGCTTTTGGCTGCACGCAAGGAAAGCAGCAAAAGTCTTTCTTTCTCTCCCTCAAACTGCGCCAGAAACAGAGGTGGTATTCAGCAGGTTCTGACCAGTTCTGGAGAACCTGTAGCAGAACTTTTGAGTAGTTTGGAGAACCGGCAAATATCACCTCTGACTGGAGATTTTACAGTATCCTTCCCCTGCCATGCCCATCAAGCCACACCTAACAGAAGCGGTAGTAAAAAATTTTTGAATCCCACCCCTGGCCAGAAATGAGTCTGTGGGACCCTGCAAGGCATCCTGCTCCAAAAGGCTGCGCCGGTACGACACGTCTCATAAAGACTCATTTCTGGCGGAATTTGGAGGAGAAAAAGAAAGACTCCTGCTGCTTCTGCTGCTTTCCTTGCATGACCTCAAAAGTCTTTCTCTCTCTCTCCTCTTGAGAACAAAGTGGAGACGATATCCTATGATCCCAAATAAAGAATGATCGATCGGTAGGAAAACGGGATGGGGAATTTTCCTGCAGACTTTTTTTGGAGGGGGGTGATTTTCCCAGGTTCTCCGGTCGGCGGGATTTAAAAGGATGAGCTTGGTGGTCCCTGAGGTACAACTCAGGCGACTCTTGGCCTAGATCAGGGGTCTCCAACCTTGGGAACTTTAAGACTTGTGGACTTCAACTCCCAGAGTTCCTCAGCCAGCTTTGCTGGCTGAGGAACTCTGGGAGTTGAAGTCCACAAGTCTTAAAGTTGGCTGAGGAATTCTGGGAGTTGAAGTCCACAAGTCTTAAAGTTGGCTGAGGAATTCTGGGAGTTGAAGTCCACAAGTCTTAAAGTTCCCAAGGTTGGAGACCCCTGGCCTAAATGACCTACCAGGTCCTTTCCAACTCGGATTATCGGTTATACCTGTTAACCTCCCAGCCTGGGCTGAAATATATATATATATATATACTCTTCCCAACGAGGGTTGTTGTCCCGAATGCGGTTTCCACGTCCGAAACTTCCTCACAGGGCGCCCTCGCTTTATCAAATTCGCTTCTCCCCCTTTCCACAATTCCAAGAAGAAGTCCCCAGTTTAGGGCGACATTTCCCAAAGTAAAAATCCGGAGCTCGGCGGTTCGGCCCAAGGGAATCCCGGTGTTGCTTTTGAGGCAACCGCTCGAGCGCGGCCCTGGCGACTCCCGCGCCCCGAGAAGGGAGCGACGGCGCGGCTGAGGGACGAGCCGAGCTCGGAGGTGGGGCGGGAACGTGAGGCGGCGCGGCTCCTCCCCGCCTCGCTGCTGTTGCTGCTGCTGCCGGTGCGGCCGGGCGGTGCTTTCACCCTCCTCTCCTTCGTCCGTCGCCTCAGCGCGGTTGCCGCGGCACAAAGCCCGGGCGAGCCTTCAGAGGCCGTCCGCCTGGCTTGGCCCGACGCCCGCTTCTTTCCTCGCCCTCTTCCTCCTCCTGCCGCCTTCATCCCCCCCCTCTTTTATTTTCTTCCTTCCAGGCCCGAGCTCGACAAAAGGACGCGGCGGTCCTTCTCCCGCCCCTGCCGCTTGAGGGGATGCGGCGGCGGAGCGGGGAGGAGGGCGACAGCGACAACACCACCGTTGGGCAGGCCGGCAGAGGCGGGGCTGGGAGCCGCCACCGCCGCCGCCGCCTGTCGTCGTCGTCTCCGTCTCTGCCGCCGCCAGCAGCCCGGACTCCTCTGGGCGAGGGGCCCGACCGGAGGGCGGCGCTGTTGAGGCGGAGCGGGGTCGCGGAGGACGGACAGTAGCAGCCGCGCGGGGAGACTTTTACCTCAGCCGGAGCGACTTTTACCTCAGCCGGAGCGAGTTTTACCTCAGCTTTCCTTGCCACGTTTGGGGGGGGGGGGTCGAGGTGGGTGGGGGGGGGGGGGGGGGGTGGGGAAAGTGGACGAGAACTCCTTCGCCCCGGGGGAGGCGCCGTCTCGGTTTTCCCGGGCAGGAAAAAGAGGCGCCTTGAACGTGGAAGAAGGGCGACGGGAAACGGGCCGGGACGCCTCCGCTGCCGCCTCCGCCGCCGCGCCGGCCTGAAAGTACGGAAAGAAAACGGGGGAGCGATATGGCGTCCTACGTGGATAATAACTTCCGCCAGGCGGTCATGAAAAACCCGGCCGACAGGAGCCCCCAGGTACTTCTGAGCAATATTCTCCCCCCCCCCTCTTCTGAGAGCCCCCCCCCTCTTCTCCCCCCCCCCCCCACTCGCTTGTGTGTGTGTGTGTGTGTGTGTGTGTGTGTGTGCGTGCGTGCGTGTGTGTGTATATATATATTTGTTTTCTTAAGTTTTCGCGGGTACTTACATGTATGGCATTCAGCTTTGTTCGGGTATTTTCCCACGTCATTGTAGTTGTGCTTTTAAAGTTGTAGCAGCGTTTCGGCAGAATCTCATCTGCCATCATCAGACTTTTTAATTTATTTATTTATATATTTATATATATATATTTATATATATATATATATGTATAAATATATTTTTATATATATATATTTATATATATTTATATATTTATATATTTATATATATTTTTATTTATAAAAATATATATATATATATATATAAAAATAACGTGTCCTTCGGAGACCCCTGCTCGTCCTTGGATGAATTCGTCCTCTCCAAGTTGGCCTATATACACGTTGAAATTTCTTTCCTTACTCTGCATCTTAAAACCCGTGGTCCCTCCTAAAAAATCCTCTCATCTTTGTTCCTGCGATGGTGGGGGTGGTGGTAGACCTCTCCTTAATATCTATAGTTTCCCCCAAACTTTCCATCCCATTTTAATGTGTAATTTGTTAGTGAGAATGGAGTGCCCCGGGGTAAAGTGTCCAGGTTGGACAGATGGGCTGTTTTCTGTAACTGTTTTATTGATTGATTTGATTTGTCAATGGCTTACAAAACAATAGGGAGCAGTATAAACGTGAGTATTTGTATACATGGTACAAATACAAAGTGTATTTGGAATTGAATTGTGCCCTTAAAAAAAAAAAAAAAGTGCCCATGGCATTCACAAATCACAGGAGCTCGGGTGTTTTAAATGCTGCGTCCTATCTGTACGTGGCTATATCAGTAAATATGTTTTTCAGTAATGTTTATTTATATAATTATTAACATATATATTTATTCAGTAACCTATGTTTCAGGTAAACTACAGAAAGAAAAGGTTATTGATTCACAGCAGCAGACTTCCCGTCCCCCATTGCCATTAACAGTGCAGCTCTTCTTAGATGGTTACTTGTATTAAGACAAATGCTTAATTTAGCCATTTGCCTTCCTATATTGCCAAAATGAATTTGTTGCTAGAGGCAGGCAATTTCAGGAACACTTTTGGTAGGCAAATTGGGGATTGCTTGATAGTTTATTTACTGTACTAGGTTACTTAACTTCTGTTGTGTCTGTTTCTAAAGGCAAACTGGGGATTGCTTGGTAGTTTATTTACTTTACTAGGTTGCTAAACTTCTGTTGTGTCTGTTTCTGGAGGCCTGTGTAATGTGTTTTTCTCCCAATAAGCAGGCAAAGATAGTTTTTTAAAAGATGTATTCATTCATTTGTTATAAGTATTTATATCCTTAGAAACCAAGTAATCAGTTTGCCAGGAAGGAATAATCAGTATTAACTTCTTTATGTATTTTGTTTATTACAAGTTTTTCTGAGTGAGTTTTTTTTTTTTGAAACAGAACAATTAGATTTTTTTTTGGAAGATACATAGTAAATATAGTTTATTGCTTATTGTAGTTTAAGACACTTCATTTTATAACAAGCAATTAATTGGTAATTCCCTTTTAAGTTTGCCATTACTTCGTTCGTAATTCAAGAAATTGCTAAAAAAATGGAACAAAATTAAAATGCAAAGGGATAAGCATTATTTTTTAAAACACCTGTTTATTTTTGCCCTGCTTCTGTGGAGTGTCAAGAGTTGACTCACTGTCATTGTTGGATTACTAGCTATTGGTAAACAGTATCCAAACTGGAAGATGCTTACTCTTCTAACAGTGTGTAAATCTTAGCAAATTATTTCTACTTCGGAATAATAGTTGAAAGTTTATTACTGAAGTTTTAAAACATGCATAAGCTGTTTGCCAGTCCCACTGAAGCCTTGGCTCAGTAGCTTACCTTCCTGTTATTTGTTGGAATTCGTGCCATTCTACCTGCTTCCTAAAGTGTTTCTGAGTATCTTGATTTTACAAAAGGCACTTTTTAATTGCTATAGCAGCCAGTTATTTTGAAGTTTTATGACAGTGTTGCAATCTGCTAAAATCTTATCCAATTAATCTGAAACTTTGATATTGATAAATGATTTAGATTGGTTTTTTAAAGATTTTGCCCCAGGCATTGGAATTTTAATCATTTTGTTGAGTATTTTTATTATTTATTCTTCATACAGTACATTAATCAGATGGTTCATACAACACATACACACATACACTTCAAGTAGTAGGTTAGAAAAGTTGAACTGTAGTGAAAAATTTCAGATAGTAAAGTGGTGTTACCAGGTGTTTAATAGTAAGATGTGACAACACTTAAACTGTAATATTGCTGCTGCAATATTAAAAATGTTTACACACTAAAAATTTGTAACATATTTTAAAGGAAACTTTTTGCACATGAGTTCACAGCTAATCCCAAATGTCAGTAAAATATATCCAGGCAGCAGAAAATTCAATGACTACTGTAATTGGCCTTATTTAAGTTAATAAATGGACCTTTTATTTCATTTTTGACAATCCACTTAGCAGATAAGTAATTTGTATTGCTGAAGCTACAACTTTCAGTAATTTTGTTTTCAATTTCTATTCAATATATTTTGGTTGCATGGCCTATAAAGTTACCCATATTTCCTTTCAGATTCTGTTTAAGAATATTTATTACATCTTTAAGGCGATCATTTTAGTTTTGGGTTTAGTCATAGTTTTTAGTTGAACAGAACTGTTTATTAGATTTATATCCCACCTTTTTCATTGAGAATCTAAAGGTAGTGTACTCCCCTCTCATTATTCCCCCAAATGACAATCTGTTAGTGAAAAACTGGGATGTAAGAAAATGATACGCCCAAAATCATTGGTGGATAGCAGTTGTTAAAGACTGATTATGAAGTTTACTTAAACACCAGAATATAGAACCGTTTTAGGGAGTCTTTTAAAAGTGAGAATCTTTGTGGGAAGAATACAGATAGTCTTCACTTAACAATACAAATTGAGGGGAGAAATTCCATTGTTAAGTGACATGGCTGTAAGTTGAAATACCATGTGACCATGCTGCTTAGCAATGGCAGTTCCGATAATCCTGATGGTTATTGTTAAAAGAGGACTGGATTATTGGGCAAGGACCTCGTGTGACTGTGACTTGTGACTTCCTGCCGGCTTCCGCATTGATTTTGCTTGTTGGAAGCCAGGAGGGAAGATTACAAATTATCATCAGGGATGCTTGCCAGCCATACAAGGGCTAGTCATAACTACCTCTCATTCACTGCCATTGCTAGTTTGAACAATCACTGAATGAATGATCATCAGAAAAGGACATGTTTTAAAATGTTACTATCCTTATTATGGCCATAAATTAATTCATTCATTTGAAGGAAATTTCATTCTTCAGGTTTCAGATTTTATTTATACAAATGAAATGGTTTAGCATACGAAATTTATTTTGAAATGAAGTTGAAATAATAAAAAGGGTCTTTCTAAAATAGTACTAATGACTAATATCTTATTAATTTATCTTTTTTCACTCAGCTAAGTCTCCAGATTGACAATCTCATTCAGGAATAAATCCTGGAGAAACATGCTACGGCAGCAACTGGCATAGTACTAATAAGAATGATCTTTAAGCTAGAGGGTTGTATTCACTCTCGTTCTGATATCCATATTGAGAATGCATTTTAAAATAAACTAACTAGAAGTCCATCGCCTTTTCCTTGCAATAATTAGGTTGTAATATATACCATCATTTCTACCCCATGATATACACCTGAATTGATGCTTCCAAACTACATTCACTCCCCCTCAGCATTCTATAACATGAAGTCTTACTAAATGCTTGCCTGTTTAGGAGCTGATTTCTGTTTCAGATGTATATGTACAACAATAGGACCTTCAGGTCCCTCTAAGACTAGCTCATTACGTCTAGTAATAGACCAATGAGACCATTAGGAGGAGGAAGGGAAATTGTGTATATTTGCCACTTTGAGATAAATAAATAAAAGCGGGATAAAAGAACCTAATAAACAAAACAGGAAATGTTCCAGTCTCAGACTGGGAATGTTTTTTTTGGAACAAGCAGTAATAGAGAATTCAAGAGCTAGTTTCTTTGAAAAGAAGGAGCTTCAGATAGATATCCACGTGGACAAGTGGCAAGCTTACTCACTTATAGATTTTCCTTCTGAGTAGTTGATAACTGCAAGTTTATCTCAGTTTTACATGTTACTGCAGAAACAGGTTAGAAATTATTTATAATTTTAAGTTTAACTGCTGCAAAATATACTTTGAGCGCTTTTAATTTTTTGGGTACTTTGTGTAGAAAGGAAGATGGAGTGTCTGGTCAGGGTGCTCACCGCAATTTGTTTTTTATGGTTTGGTTACATCTGAATGCAGTTATATTTACAATTAGAGAAACTACTTTGGTTCTTTACAATTAATATAATTCCCATTAAAGAAAGAAAAAAGAACCTTCCTCCAATAAAAACAAATATTTCTAGGTGGTGATATAAGTGACTATTTGTTGATTCACATTTTAGAGAATATAGATTTTAGTTATAGTGTTAAAATGGTATAATCAAGCGCAAATGGTACATCTTTGGCTATATCAGTCTGTTTAGCTCAGTCTTCTACATCTTTTTCTATTTGTTAGATTTTTGAGGGGTCCTTGGTGCTCACTGAATTTGGTTGTTTTCTGGCAGATGTCATCAGTGCACTGATGATGTTACCTAATTTGGGTAATGAAACATCTGCAAGAAAACAACCAAGATCAGACAGCACCAAGAACCCCTTATTTCAACCCTGTGCTACATGTATTTTTTTTAAAAAAGATGTTGCATGTATGTTTTTAAACCTCTCTTCCAGATTTCTAACTTACCTTTCATTTCTGCATACAAATATATAAGAATGTAGATTGATAGAAATTTAAACCTCATAACATCCGTT